CTGCTCTCAGAGCACACGGCGTGTTTGGGGTTCTGTGCGAAGGTTACATAACTGGCTTCGCTTGTTAGTCCGTTCTTTGTGGTCAGCTGTTTGTTTTCTTTTAATCCTCATCCGAGGGTCTTTTTTCCATTGGTCTCTGGAGAGAGGTGAGAGGGAGAGAGAAAGAGAAACATCAATGTGAGAGAGACACATATCGATAGATCGGCTGCTTCCTGCATGTGCCCTGACTGGGCCGGGGGTCGAACCTGCAACCTGTGCTCTTGACTGGGAATCGAACCCACGACCCTTCTGGGCTCAGGCAGATGCGCTAACCACTGAGCACACAGCCTGGGTGTGGCTGGTTGTTTTGGGCTGGATTTATTCTCGGTGGTGGGGCCTGGGTGTGCGTTGTGTGTTGTGAAAGAGCATCTTTGGCCTCTACCCACCGGATGCCAATAGCACCCCACGTGTGACACAGAATGTCCTCAGACACTGATGCGTGCCTGTGATTGGAGCGTAGCCTGGGCGTTGAGGCAGAGCAGACGGGTGCCGTGAGGTGGGCAGAGAGAATCCTCATCAGGCGCTTTGCCCCTGAGAAAGTGGAGGGATGAGGGGAGGCCAGGGCCTGGGGTTGAGTGTTCCCCACAGTCTTGCCCGCTGCTCCCCTGTTGCTGGTGTACAGCTGGTGACTGGCAGGTGCCAGGCCTGGCATGTAGGTGAGTGAGGGAGAGCGCCTTCCATCCTCCCAGGTCTTGGGGTAAGGGCCTGCAGCGGTGGGGACCCCCTGGCCGCTGCCTGAGTGACAGGCCTGTCCTTGCCGCCTGACTGGGGTGACCCCGAGGCTCCCAGCGCTGCAGAGGGAGAATGCCATGGAGGGGCTCCAGCCTCCGTGTCCCCCTGACCAGAAGCTGGTGTGATGGCGGCAGCGAGTGGGGTGATCGTCAGATGCTGGGCGTGGGCTCTGGCTTGTTAGAGCCCGTGAGCACCAGCCATGCACCAAGCCCCGACGCCGGCCCGGCCTCACGGCCCCAGCAGCGGGTGCGTTGGCCTCAGTCTCTCCGGGCCCCACCGAGAGAGGACCAGCTGCGGAGCCGGGTGGGGAGGAGCGTGGGAGCCTGTGGACCCCGCAGGGTTCGTGAGGAGGGCTGCCCAGGACGGACCGGAGAGAGGCAGACGCTCACTGAGCGCCCAGGCCTGGCCGGGCCCTCAGGCGCTTGGTGGTGGTTGGCCATTGAGGCCAGCAGACCCGGTGGGCTCCCTTCGAGACGTGGTCCGTCCATCTCCGCTCCGAGCCGCCATCAGACGCAGGGACGCTTCGGGGGGCTGCCGCTGCGAGCCTTGGAGAGCGACCTGCTGGGCTGGGGCCTGGTGCTACCTTGGGTACTGCGGTTTCCAGATGGTTCCATCTGATCTGCCACGCGGCAGGCGCTGCTGAGGCGTGGCACTGATAACGGCACTGGCCACGCTCAGCCCCGGGGCCGGCCTGTCCCCCGTCGCACAGTGGAGGTGAGGCCTCGTGCGGGGCGCGCTGCGGGGCTGACAGCGGCTGCGAGGAGCCCGGCGGGAAGCCACAGGGAGGCCAGCTGGACGCCGGGGGCCACCCGTCAGGCTAGCGGAGCCACAGACAGCCGCTCGGAGCAGGGGTGGGTGAGGGTCGAGGAGAACATTCTAGGCAGAGGGAACAGAACGTGCACAGCCTGAGCTGGAAGAGCAGGTGGCGGGCGTATTCCGGACCGGCGAGTGGAAGGGCTGGGTCTGAGGCCAGGCGCCTCTCCTTCGTGTGGGAGCTGCCGCCAGGGGCTGAGCTCCCGGCCTGCCGGGGGGGCCTGCCGGCTGGCCGTGTGTGCGGTGGCTGTGCCTGTTTGTGGTTGCCACAGTGGCCTCGCACCTGGGTGGCCCGGCCATCTGGGCGCAGTGCTGACGACTGTGGCGAAGGGTGGCAGCAGCGGGTGGCCTGGGCATCTCCCTCCGCTGCTGGCAAAGCCCCAGGGAGACCGAGTCCCTCCAGATGCAGCTGGTGACCCTGAGGGCAGGAGGGCCAGAGGGACCAACCGAGCCCTCCCCTCCGCTGATCCGTGTGCTCACAGCACCTCTGCCTCCAGGGCCTGAGGGGAGCAGACGGGAGGCCCCTTTGCCAGTGCCTTGTGCCTCCAGGCGCCCCTCACGCCCCTGGCCTGGCCGGCGTGGGCGCTCCTGGATGCAGCGGGAAACCAAGGCTCGGTGAGGGGCGAGCTTCTCAGGACCTCTGGTCCTGGCGGGCGGCTGCAGGCTGGGGCAAGGAGGTGCGAGGCGAGGGCAGGACTGGCGGGAGAGCGGGCGGCAGCCCAGCAGCCCCGCGTTGTTAACTTGGACATAAAACGTCTTACTTGCTCGTTACAAAGACCTCATGCCAAGAAGCCAGCCTCACTGGTTCTCGTTACTGAGCACTAACCGGGCGACCGTGCCCGTCGGCAGGACCCGTGCGAGTGCCACGCCCAGTGCCCAGGCCTGCACTGGAGGCCCGCCTTGCTGGGCGCTGGTGCCTCTGAGGTCCTCCCTGCACTCAGACTCGGAGGTGCAGAGGGGACCGCACTGTCTCAGCCTCAGGCTGCCACACCCCAAGGCCACGCTCGACACACTGCCCTGGCTGGGCCTCCATACGCGTCAGCTGGGCCCTCCCCCCTCCAGCCCGGTCCTCCCCCTCCAGCCCGGGCCCTCCCCCCTCCAGCCCAGGCCCTCCCCCCTCCAGCCCAGGCCCTCCCTCCTCCAGCCCGGTCCTCTCCCCCTCCAGCCCAGGCCTTCCCCCTCCAGCCCGGTCCTCCCCCCTCCAGCCCGGGCCCTCCCCCCTCCAGCCCGGGCCCTCCCCCTCCAGCCCAGGCCCTCCCCCCTCCAGCCCGGGCTCTCCCCCCTCCAGCCCAGTCCTTCCCCCTTCATCCCGGTCCTCTCTCCCTCCAGCCCGGGCCTTCCCCCTCCAGCCCAGTCCTTCCCCCTTCATCCCGGTCCTCCCCCCTCCAGCCCGGTCCTCCCCCCTCCAGCCCGGGCCCTCCCCCTCCAGCCCGGGCCCTCCCCCCTCCAGCCCGGTCCTCTCCCCCTCCAGCCCGGTCCTCCCCCCTCCAGCCCGGGCCCTCCCCCCTTTAGCCCGGGCCCTCCCCCCTTTAGCCCGGGCCCTCCCCCCTCCAGCACGGGCCCTCCCCCCCTCCAGCACGGGCCCTCCCCCCTCCAGCCCGGTCCTCCCCCCTTCAGCCCGGTCCTCCCCCCTCCAGCCCGGGCCCTCCCCCCTTCAGCACCTCCAGGAGCACCTCCCGGACAGACCCGATTCATGGTAGTGACTGCGCCTTGGAGCCTCAGTTTCCCCAAGTAAAGTGGGCTAAGACCTCCTCCCTCAGGGCGGTGGGGCCATACGCGACGGACGCCACTCAGCCCTACACTGTCCTGTGGCTCCTGTACACGGTGACGGCCCCTCAGCGTGGGTCGGGCCTGGTGCCTGTGCACCCAGCGCCAGGGAGCAGCTGGCAGTGCCGTGAGCACTGCTGTCGCCGGTGCTGCTCCCGGGAACGGGGGACGGGCAGGGCTCAGGCCTGTAGGAGCCCACTGGGATCTGAGCTCGGGCAGAGAGAGCCCGTGCTCTTGGCCTGGCATCGGGGTCCCTGCGGTAGCCTCTGCGGAGACGGCTGTGCTCGGCCCACGCCCGCAGGACAGCCGTCCGGTCCTGGTGACTCAGAAGCGCTGAGAGGGCAGCGCTGAGAGGGCAGCGCTGCCTGCTCTTCCAGCAGCAGCCTGTCCCTTCCCTGATGGGGGCGGGGGCAGAGGGGGGGCTGGCTGCGGGGCCTGAGCATGGGCCGTGCTGGGGTCATGGGAGGTGCTGAGGCCGCCTGTGAGGCTGGGGAGGTGGAACCTGGTGCTCCACTCACTGCGGCCGTTCCCTGGGCCCGTGTCAGAGGGGGCTGTGCAGGGGTGGGGGAGGGGCTGTGCAGGGGTGGGGGAGGGGCTGTGTGGGGGTGGGGGAGGAGCTGTGCGGGGGTGGGACAGAGCGGTGAGGGGCTGTGCAGGGGGTGGGGGAGGGGCTGTGGGGAGGTGGGGGCAGAGCAGTGAGGGGCTGTGCAGGGGGTGGGGGAGGGGCTGTGGAGAGGTGGGGGCAGAGCGGTGAGGGGTTGTGCAGGGGTGGGAGAGGGGTTGTGCAGGAGTGGGGGAGGGGCTGTGCAGGGGTGGGAGCAGAGCGGTGAGGGGCTGTGCAGAGGTGGGGGAGGGGCTTTGCAGGGGTTGGGGGAGGAGCTGTGGGGAGGTGGGGGCAGAGCAGTGAGGGGCTGTGCAGGGGGTGGGGGCGGGGCTGTGCAGGGGTGGGGGCAGAGCAGTGAGGGGCTGTGCAGGGGTTGGGGAGGGCTGTGGGGGCAGGCACGGAGAGTCACCGGTTCCGTGGTGGGTTTCGGGAAGTCACGGTCCAGTCCCAGCTTGGCCACCCAGGCGCCCGGTGACCTGGGCAGGTGCCTTTCCTCTGGGAGACGGATCCCCGATCCCCGGTCTGGGTGCCTGGGAGCAAGGGCGGTGGCCCCAGCGGCCTCCCCTCACCTCCGGCTCCCTGGGGTCTCCACCTTGGTTCCTGCGGAAGTGCCCTCCGCCATGCCAGCCCCCACCCGCAGTGCCCATGGAGGGTTCCCGCGGCCCCTGCCAGGACCCGCCACACTGGGCTGTTGGGAGAGGCAGGGGGGTCAGCCTGTGGGGGGGTGAGAGGGAGAAACGCGCTGGGCAGGCTCAGGCCTGTGTGGCACCCCGATAAGGAGACTGGGCTTCCGGGGCGTACCTTTGAGGGGCAGCAAAGGCACACCTGAGGGGCAGGAGGAAAGGGCTCCCCAGCTGCTCTGCTGCCCGTCCCCGGCCACCCTGACGTGACAGATGCGGAGACTGAGGCTCCGAGCGGCGGGTAGCGAGCTGGGAGCGGGCAGCTCCGCCCGATGGTGCTGTCCGGGCAGCACCGGGGAGGCGGTTCCCACGGCCCAGTCCCTCGGACGCGGCCTCAGCGGCCTCGCTTCCCCCTTCCCCTCCAGGAAAGGCCAAGAGGAAGAAGGACTTGCGGATCGCCTGTGTGTCCAAGCCGCCCGCGCCCAGCCCCACGTGAGTCTGCTCCGCGTCTCCTGGGTCAGCCTGGGTCCTCCTGCGGGGCCCCGGGGATGGGGCAAGTAGGACTCGTGGCCGGCAGAGCCCCGGAGCCCCCGTGGGGTCGGGGCCTGGGGCTCAAGGCATCTGGGTCGGGCTGTGCTCCTCCCGCCTCAGAGGAGGCACCTGGCACATGGGAGGGGCTTGCGGAGTGCCGCCTCCGAGACTCATGGGGTCTGTGTTCTCCCTAAAGGCCCCCTAGGAACCTGGACTCCCGGACCTTCATCACCATTGGAGACAGGGTAGGTGCTGGCTGCAGCTGGGCTCCGGTTCTTCCTCTAAGGGGCCCGAGCTGACCCCATGAGGCCTGAGCTGACCCCGCAGGGCCAGGAGAGGTTCTGTGGGCTCCAGCAGAGCCCGTGCCCAGCCTCGCTCCTGCCTTCCCTCAGAGTCTGTTCCCACATCACCCGTGGGACTGTGTGGGGCATGCAGAGCCCTGCCTGACTCTTGGGTGCCGCCTGGAACCCGAGTCCCACAGGCACCGACGGCCGGGCAGGGACTGTGGGTCCTGGCTCGGACCCCGCTGGACCACGAGACACGGGGGCTCCCGGCAGTGCGCTCACTATGGCGGCCTCTCCCGGGGACAGCTCCTTCAGGCTCTCCCTCCTGACCGGCACTGTGGATGTCCGGTCCACCAACTTGCTGCTTCCTTTTGGGTCTGCCTCCTGCAGAGGGCGAGCTCGAGAGACCAGATGGCCATGGCTTCCTGTGAGGGCAAGGCATGGTTTTCTCTGTGTCTCCAGTGCCTACAACGGACTTGCACATAGTAGGCACTCGGCAAATTGAATAACTCAGTCTGCCTTCCGAGTGGGGTGGGGAGCACTGGAGTCCCCTGTGCCCGCGGGGCACGTCACAGCCTGTCCTGGGCATTGGTGCTGCGCCTGCTCTGTGGGTGGGTGTGGCGCTCAGAGGGAAGGACTTGTCCCGGTCGGTCGCACTGCAGGAGGGGCTGGTGCAGGACTTGGATCCCGGTCTGACCTGCCGCTCCCCCGGCTGTCTCCGTGGAAGGAGGCAGGGCCGCTCCTGGCTTTTGACCACCAACCTTCTCTCTCCCGTTCCCCCAGAACTTTGAGGTGGAGGCCGATGACCTGGTGACCATCGCGGAGCTGGGGCGTGGAGCCTACGGGGTGGTGGAGAAGGTGCGGCACGCCCAGAGTGGCACCATCATGGCTGTGAAGGTCAGCGGGGTCCCACCCTGCCGGGGAGCACTGGGCCACAGGACCCCTGGGGGGTGGCTGGGGGGCCCTCCTGCCCCACGGCCCCTGACCTGCGGCCCTCTCGTGGCAGCGGATCCGGGCCACCGTGAACTCCCAGGAGCAGAAGCGCCTGCTAATGGACTTGGATGTGAACATGCGCACAGTTGACTGCTTCTACACTGTTACCTTCTACGGGGCCCTCTTCCGAGAGGTAGGCCTGGCAGGAGTGGGGGCGGGGTGCCAGGCTGGGGCCAGCAGCTCCGACACCCTGCCTTTCCCCCATGGCGCACTCACCCCCGCCCCCTAGCCTGAACGAAGCCACTGTGGTCATTCTGGGCCCCAGCAGCCACTTGCTGAGTGCCCCTGGGTGCTGGGTGCCGGGTGCCGGGTGCCGGGCGCAGGAGTGAGTGGGTCCTGCCTCCCTGTGGGACAGAGAGCATGGCTCTGGAGAGTGCAGGCCTCGGAGCCAGACGCCCGTCTTTGCTTCCTTCCTCAGTTTCCTTGTCTATGAAATGAGACCAGTCACCACACAAGGTGGTCAGGATGAGCTGGTGTGGCCAGGGCCTGGCGTTCAGTAGTGTGCCACCAGGTGGTGTGACCACCGCCTGAGCAGCATCCTGGCCGGAGGGTGGCTCCAGGCGGGGCAGCAGTGGGGGTGTGGGGGTGGGTGTGGGCCGGGACTGGGTGAAGCAGGGTGTGGCCTTGGAGCTGGGAGGACATGGTCGGAGCCAGAAGCCTAGGTTGGGTGCTCTTGTTGGCGGTGGCGGCTGCCGCCTGGTTCAGGGGAGCCGGACTCCTGGCCCAGCCTCACTGTCTGAGCACCGAGTGGCCCTTGAGCTGGTGGAGTGTCCAGACCCATTGTGTGCCAGGCCAGGCTCCACCCCCGCGCCACTCAGCCTCCCCGTGTGCTGGGTCAGAGCTGGCAGGGGCCTGGGGGCCTGTGGGAACCCCGAGGAGTGCCGCACCCCTCCTTCCTTCAGGAAGGTTGTCCTGAAAGGTGCGGAGGCGGGGACGGCAGGCATCGCGGGGGAGGAGGGACCTGTCTGTCAGGGTCAGAGCTGGGGTGCCCCGTGTGGTAGGGCCACCAGGGCTGAACCCGCAGGCTTTGTGGGGCTGGGTCATGGCCAGATCCCAGAAGTGACTGTTGGATGGAGGGACCCAGTGTTTGGTCACTTCTTCCTGGAAATCACCGTGGACTTAGGGATCAGAGAGGGGAGCCCAGAGGGGCCGGGAGGCTGCTGTGCCGCCAGGAAGGCGGAGAAGGTGCGGGTCAGGAAGCTTAGGGAGGCAGATGGGAGGAGCTGGGGGAGAGGCTGGTGGGTCAGCCAGAGGCCTGGCCCAGGGCGGCGGGCCTGAGCTGACCTCTGGCCCCGCCTCCTGGCCCAGGGAGACGTGTGGATCTGCATGGAGCTCATGGACACGTCCCTGGACAAGTTCTACCGGAAAGTGCTTGAGAAAGGCCTGGTGATTCCCGAGGACATCCTGGGGGAGATTGCTGTGTCGGTAAGTGGCTTCAGGGCTGGGGCGGGGGCGCTAGGAGCTCCAGGTTCATAGCCAGGGCCCCGCCCGGCCCGGCAGGCACAAAGCCCAGTCTCGTGGTGGTGTTCTGGGCTGAGCTGCGCCCCAGTGTGGCCCTGAACCTGGGCACTGCCGGACCCCAGCACCTCCACTCTGGGCCAGAGCCTTTGCTGAGGAGACCCTGCAGCCGTGGCTCCCAGAGACACGGAGCTGGAGCTCCGGGGCCTCAGGCCCTGTGTGCAGTGCCTGCTCCCGGACCGTTTGAGAGGACTTAGCATTCACAGCTTCCTCAGCCACTCAGGGAGGGGGAGAAAGGGTCGCATCCAAAAGTTTGCCCTCCCCCCATTTATGTAATTACTTATTTATTTGTATTGAGCTTATTAGGGCGACAGTTAACAAAATTATACAGCTCCCAGGCACACAGTTCTGCAGCCCATCATCCGTATGTTGTGTTGTACTCACCACCTCAAGTCAAGTCTCCTTCATCACCATATTCCTACCCCCCCCCCCCCCCCCCGGCCACCACATGCTGTCTCTGTCGCCGAGTCTTTTCTTTCTTGCTTCATCCCTCACTTACCCACCCCCGCCTGTGAGGGTGAGCACTGCTCCAGGAGGTAGCAGCACTGGGCTCGAGCGTCCTGGCAGCAGAGCAGACAAGGAAATGGGCAGTGCCGTTTCCTTCTGGCTGCATCTGGGCCTATTGAGAACACATCCAGCCGGGTGCTGAGGGCACCAGGTCTTGGGGGGGTGGGCGAAGGAGCCGGGAGGCTGCCCAGCTGGGTTTCACCCAAGAGCCTGGCAGGGTGGCCGTGGGGGTCACAGGCCCAGGACTCCGCAGTGGCTTCCAGCACATCATTTCCTGGGATTGTGGGCTGAGTCGCTGCCCACTTGCCCGGGAGGGAGACAAGCAGGAGGCCAGGTGCCTGTCCCAGAGACGCCAGGTGTCCAGGGCAAAGGTCGGGTGTGGCAGGAGCATGGGCTGATGAGGGCTGGGGGGTGAGTAAGGGCGACAGGCGGGCAGGGTTACTGCGCTGTCCTGGCTGGTGCACGCATCAGCTCTGTTCTCTGTCCTCGCACAGGTAGTGAGGGCCCTGGAGCACCTGCACAGCAAGCTGTCCGTCATTCACCGAGGTCAGTGCCGCCGCGGCCCCCAGGGAGGGTCCCCCCAACCCCCCGTGCGTGGTCTCAGCCCGTCCTGCGAGGGGGCCTCTCGTTTCCAAGCGGAGCCCAGGGAGGGAGAGGCGGGATGTGCTGCTGGATTAGTGGTGAGGCTCTTCCCAGCGAGGCCGCTCACGTGTCCAGCCATTTTCCTCGGACCCACCCAGAGCCAGTACCGGCCCTTCAGTGACCCGCCTCCCCTACCCCCAGGGTTGCTGGGGCTTTGAGCAAGGACTAGGTGGGCTGTGGCCGGCGGCCGGCGGCGGACTGGCTTTGTCTGGAAGTGTTGTTTGCATATTTTTTTTTTTAATTTACCCTGCATTTTTAATTTTTTTAAAATATGTTTTTTTATTGATTTTGTACAGAGAGGGAGGGAGAGAGATAGCAAGTCAGAAACATCAATGAGAGAGAGTCATCGATCAGCTGCCTCTTGCACACCCTCTACTGGGGATGTGCCCGCAACCAAGGTACATGCCCTTGACCGGAATCGAACCCGAGACCCTTCAGTCCCCAAGCCGAGGCTCTATCCACTGAGCCAAACCGGTTTCGGCTGTTGTTTGCATATTGTGACACACGGAGCTCTAGTGCAGTTGCATGAGTCTGTTCAGAGTTTATACCATGTAACTGCCACCCTGGGAAGAGACAGGATGCTCCCCCGTCCCCCGTCCTGGAAAGTTCCCTTGGCCTTTTCTGGCTGGTCCCTGCACCCCACATCCCCCAATGCTCCTCGTCTGCGGGGCCCCCCACCCCCTCCCCCTCCCTCCCCCACACAGATTGGATTGTCTTGTTTGTGAACTTCCTATCAGTTGCCTCCACGCCCGTGCCTCCGTCCGGCCTCTTTCCCTTGGCCTCACGCTCCGAGCTCCCCAGGCTGGGTGCTGTGGTTTCTCCTCTCATGGCTCTTCCGGGCTGGGCTGTTTGTGCAGAGTTCACCAGACTAAGCCCCTTGGCGGCTCTGGTCTTCCCCAGTCCTTTGTGGTTTCCAGTCCACCCAGGGCCCGTCGGCAGCACCTGGGGGGAGGGGTACGTTTGCTGGAGATTTCCCGCTGTGCAGCCTCTCCGGACTGGGGCGGGCTGTGTTCGCTGCAGACTGCCCCGTGGTGTTAGCCACCGGGGTGAGCGAGGCCCCGGCTTCCTTTCTCTCGGGGCCGGTGGCTGGAGCGCGTCCTCCACTGGCCATCCCGGCAGCGCCTCTCCGAGCCTCGGTCCCTCCGCGCTCCCTGGTCCTGCGGTGTCTGCCCGGGCGGCCGGCGCCCGGCTGAGTGGCCCTTTGGTTCCTGCAGACGTGAAGCCTTCGAATGTCCTCATCAACAAGGAGGGCCACGTGAAGATGTGCGACTTTGGCATCAGCGGCTACTTGGTGGATTCCGTGGCCAAGACGATGGACGCCGGCTGCAAGCCCTACATGGCTGTGAGCAGCCCTGCCCCCTCCTGGGCCTTGGGGGTCCTCTGGCCCTGAGGTGGCCCGCCAGCCCCTTGCCCAGGGCCTCCCCCGGAGAGCAGTCCTGCTCTGTAGCACCTGTTTGGAGGACAGGTTCCATGCACCCCACGTGGAGGTAGCTTGGGGGGGTCTGTGTAGGACCCTCCAGCGTCCTGAAGGTGCTCTTCTCAGTCCCCGTCGGGGGCACCTTTGAGGCAAAGGTTAGGCTTCCACCACAAGACCCTGACCTTCCCTGGCCTCAGTTTCCTCACCTGTCCCGGGAGGCGGGGGAGTTTGGGGCCGGGGGCTCGGGCACCCCTGTGGAGGGGTGTTTATGCCTCCCTGGTCCTTCTTGCAGCCCGAGAGGATCAACCCGGAGCTGAACCAGAAGGGCTACAACGTGAAGTCCGACGTCTGGAGCCTCGGCATCACCATGGTACCCGGCTGGGTCTGCGGGCTGGCGGGGGGCACATTCGCAGGGAGCATGGGGGCCCCCGGAGACGTGCTGGCTTCGCTGAGGCGCCCCAAGTGACGGTATAATGAAGGGAGTGACCGTGGTGGCGTTGGCCCTCCCTGGGGTGAGGCGCCTGCACAGAAGCTCTGGACAGCGGTGCCCAGGGGACTGTCCCCAGACTCACGTCGCTTGTGAGGAATCCAAACTAAGTGAGCGCCTGCCACTCAAACAATCTTAAAAGCAAAATCGTAGAGGGCCCTAAGATGTCTTCACGGCAAGAAGCGCGTAGCCCCTGGGTCCTGGTGCGCGGCCAAGGGGGGCCGGGTGGGGCGGCGGGCTCTCCATCCTGAGCTTGTGGGGCCGGGCCGGGGGGTGCCCAGCCCTTGCTGAGCCGGAGGCTGCACCTGAGGTCCAGGCGAGGGACTGGCCCAGGAGACTCTCGTTTGTAAGAACCGTCCAGTCGAGCCCTGGCCCCCTCCTGGTGGGCACGGTGGGAGCCGCCGTGGCCCAGAGCGGCGGAGACGGAGGAATTAGCATGCCGCCGGGGTGACTTGTGCTGAGACTGAGCTCAGGGCCTCGCCTGCAGGAGTCAGCCCGGTGGCCTGCTGGCCTGCGTGCCGGGAGGAGCACTCTCTGCCTCAGGCCTCAGCTCCTGGTGTTGGGGGCAGATACCGTCCACAGGCAGATAGAGGGGCCGGAGTGTGGAGAGAGGGGAGCGGGTTGGAGTGTGCCTGGGCACAGGAGCAGAGCAGCAAAGTCTCTGATGGGAGCCTGGGCCAGGGTGCCTGGGGGAGCCTGGGCCAGGGGTGCCTGAAAGAGCCTGGGCCAGGGGTGCCTGGGGGAGCCTGGGCCAGGGTGCCTGAAAGAGCCTGGGCCAGGGGTGCCTGGGGGAGCCTGGGCCAGGGGTCCCTGGGGGAGCCTGGGCCAGGGGTGCCTGGGGGAGCCTGGGCCAGGGGTGCCTGGGGGAGCCTGGGCCAGGGGTGCCTGGGGGAGCCTGGGCCAGGGTGCCTGGGGGAGCCTGGGCCAGGGGTGCCTGGGGGAGCCTGGGCCAGGGGTGCCTGGGGGAGCCTGGGCCAGGGTGCCTGGGGGAGCCTGGACCAGGGTGCCTGGGGGAGCCTGGGCCATGGGCGGGGGAGGCTAGAGAGTCAGGGTCATTGGAGGGGTCTTAGATTTCAATGATGCTGCAGTTGCCATAATCCTCCTCCTCGTAGGATTATAATTTTACAACCTGTGTGTGTTCACAGTGACTGAGAATGCAAGTCATTTTTTCAGACAAAAGGGAGGAACAGGTGACACCTTCAATTTTCCTTAATGCAACACACACACACACACACACACACACACACACACACACACGCCATTGCGCTGTCACAGCCTCATCTCTGGGGGTATGTGTGTCTCTGTGGGAAGGGCTGTCAGCCTCATGGGAAGGCTCTTAGCAGAGCAGTCGGCGAGCTGTTCGGCACCGCCTGCCAGCATGAGTGTGCGTTTGAGTTGCGGTCTCTGCTGTGCGTCACACCTGCCGCGGGGACATCTGTGCGGTTTCACGCTGATGGGTATTTTCACTTCGGCAAGGAAAACTGAATGCAGAGTTGGCATAAGCTGGCCAGTGCGTTCTACAGTGACTTCCTGCTAAGGCAGGCGAGGCGTGAGCGGAGGGCTGGCCTGGGTGCAGAGCGGGCCCCGATGCCACGTGCAGGGAGCCTAGGTCCACGCCCAGCAGGGTGGACAGACCTACGGCGGCCACACGTCCAGGGGGTCAGAGAGAACCCATGATGGGGAGAGGAGAAGGCTTCTGGAGGAGGAGGCTGGGAATGGGCCTTGCGGGGTGTGGGTGGGTAGGGTACGTGGGGGACAATGGAGGAGGGGCTGCAGACTCCACAGCTGGGAGTCCTGGGCTGCGTTGCTGGAAAGCAGGGTTGAGTGCGGCCTGGGTCCCACTTCCCTCCACGGCCACGGGGAGGCGGGTAAGAGTGTCTTTGGCTTCCACTGCCGCCTCTGTAGCAGCAGCTGCTCAGCTCGACGGCAGGGGAGGTGTTAGGGGACAGTAGGGAGCAGTGAGGGAGATGTTTGGGGGCAGGGGCCTGTGAACAGCGGCTGCTGCCTCGGACAGGTGCGGCTGCAGCTCCGTGGGCTTCCCTGGGTTAGCCGGAACCTGGTTTTCATGTGAAGTCGTCAGGTTCAGGCTGTTTGAGGCCTGAGGATGGTCAGAGCCATACCCACCCAGGCCGGCCCTGCTCCAGGAGCCGTCCATGCTGCTGGCTGTGGAGCTGCAGCTGCTGGATCCTCCTGGCTTTCACCTTTGACCCGGCCTCACGGCCCAGCCACCTGCCCTGCTGCTGATGCAGAGGGTGACAGCACCCCGTCCTCCCTGCAGATTGAGATGGCCATCCTGCGGTTCCCCTACGAGTCCTGGGGGACGCCCTTCCAGCAGCTGAAGCAAGTGGTGGAAGAGCCATCCCCTCAGCTCCCGGCTGACCGCTTCTCTCCGGAGTTTGTGGACTTCACTGCCCAATGGTGAGTGCAGCGCCTGGCTGGACAGCGGCTGCCCTGCCGCACCTCCTCCCCAGCACAGAGCCCCACAACGCCACGTGCACCGGAGGCATCGCTGAGGCCCAGGGGAGTGACATTGGTCCTCTGACCGCACGGACCCGGGGAGGCGGAGAGAAGGCAGAGCGCTGTAGGGGCAGGCACGGTGGGAAGAAGGCGCTTTGCTGGTGTTTGGGACTCGCCCACGCTGAGGGTGCCCGGCACAGCAGCCGTATGAAGTAGTGCGAGAGGCGAGGCAGCACCCTGGCCGTGGTCTGCCCCCGGGGGTAAGACGTGTCCGCAACCACGGGAAGCTGCATGGAGGTTCAAGTGAGTTCTCCCGACGTACTGTGGCTCATGGAGGAGTTTTGAAAAAGGAAATTACAAGCTGTTCAGAAGTGAGAGTGAGAAAATGGCATGCCAGTGTCTGTGTGCTGTGAGTAGAGACTCGGAGGAAAACTCACAGCCTGTACTTCTCTTGTTAGAAAATAAACAAGGCTGAGGACGGAGGGGCTGCAGTCACATCCCCTCGCTCCCTGTCCTGATGGGAATGACCCTCCTGAGAGAGGATGCCAAGGATAGGAGCGCTCACGGCAGCATTTGGTGCCATTTCAGCATGAGGTTCCCTGGGGATTGCCTAGGTAGCTATAGAGAGGAGAACCAGCGCCCCAGAGGCAGAGAACGTGGCCCGTCGCGCCTGCCCCGGGGCCCTCGGTCTCAGGAGCTCCCAGAGCAGTCCGCTCCTGCCCACGCCCGGAGCACGGGTCCCCTCGCTGCCCAGGCTCAGGCTCGGCCGGCCTGAGGCTGGGCCCCTCCTCCAGGCCGGCCTGACCCCAGCCTGCCCTGCTCTCTCCTAGCTTGAGGAAGAACCCCGCGGAGCGCATGAGCTACCTGGAGCTGATGGTGAGTGTGGGGCAGCGCTGGGCGGCTCTCCAGGGGGAGGCGGCGTCCCCGCGCACAGGCAGGCAGCTCCTCGGGCTGGCCCTGCAGTCATTTCTCCAGGCATCAGCCCACGCCCAGCCCTGTAGAGGGCACACAGGCAGGGCCACAGGCGGCGGGGTGGGAGGCAGGTGGGCTGTTTTACCTGAAGGCATCAGGGAAGGCTTCTTGGAGGAGGTGGCATATGAATTGGCCTGGAAGGATGAATAAGGGCTCACCTACAATGGAGTGGGCTATCCACGTTGAATGTGCTGTGGCCGGTGGATGCCTAGTGGAGAGCCCAGGAGGCAGCCGGCTGCTATCGTACCCGGGAGGGCTTTCTGGGCGGAACCCCAGGAGAATGGGGGCGTCTGCCAGGCCGGGCACACCGGCCCAGATGGGTGGGCGGCCGGAGCACCTCCTCACGCCTTGTCCGGTCCCACCAGGAGCACCCGTTCTTCACCTTACACAAAACCAAGAAGACAGACATCGCTGCTTTTGTGAAGAAGATCCTGGGAGAGGACTCGTAGGGGACCCCACAGCCCAGAGACCTCTGCGGGGGCGATGCTTGCCCACACCCTGAGCTGCTGCCACTGGCCGTGGGCATCCTGGTCCCAAGCGCCAAGGAACCACACTGTTGGGGCTCCCCGCGGCTCCCATGGGCCTACCAGTTCTCTGTCCTGCTGCTTCAAGGACCCCAAGCCTTCAGCCCCTGAGACCCTGGACTTGGGGGGACCTGGATGCCCCCATATGCTGCCGCCGCTCACAGAGAAGGCAGCCGGCACCCGTGCACTGCCTGGCCCTGCCTGGGTCCCATCAGTTGTATATTTTTTTACTTCTTGACTGAATGGACTTTGCACACTTTGACTCAGGACTTGGCGCTGGGTGGTGTGGGCGGTGCGGGCCGGTGAGCCTGCTGAGCCCCTGAGGAGACCCAGCTGCTCGACCCTCCAGGACCCAGCGGCCCGCCCTCCTCTCCCAGCGAGGGGCGTCGCCTCACTTTTTTTTAATTTATCCTCTCCCCCCCCCCCCCCCCCCCCCGCTCTGTGGGCGTGGCTGGGTCTGTGCTGCCGGTGGTGCGGTGTGGTGTTGCATGCTTTGAGCTGCCCCGCCGGGGGCCGCAGCCGAGACTCACCTCTGCTCAGGTGCATCCAGGAGGTCGGCCCTGCCCAGACACTCCGCAGGCTGGCCTGGCAGGCTGTAGATTTGCTTAATAGTGTGTGTGTGTGTGTGTGTGTGTGTGTGTGTGCACACACATATACATATATGCCTTTTCTCTTTTTTTAAAGAAAGGACTGCCTGTCCTGGGTCCTGTCCCTGATGGGTTGGGGCAGTTACCTGTTTGCTGTTTTAATTAAAAAAAAACCAAAAAAACGGGGGGTCCAAAGGCGGAGTGAGACTGTCACCGTGGCGAGCCCACGCTTCCGGAGGGCCTGTGCCCTGGAAGGACCCCTGGCCTGGGCCGGGCCGGGCTGTGTGGTTGGGGAGGCTGCACGGGCCCAGGGCTGTGCTGAGGGGCCGGCCCTGTGCTGGGTGCTGGGTGCTGGGTGCTGGGAGCAGTAGCACAGGCCTGACCTCTGGTGGGCTGACCCCTGGCCGCGGGACAGCGCTCGCCCGTTGCGGGTGACGGACCGAGCGGGGCCCTCACCGCTGCCGGGCCCTCAGGGAGGGGGGTGTTGGTGTCTTGGGCTACTCTGTTGGCCCCAGTTCATGGGAAGCGGGCCGAGAACTGAATAAGGTGCCGGAGCCACCAAGCCCGCCTGCTGAGAAGCAGGCCTGGAGCCAGGCCATGCCCTCGGGAGGAGACTCAGGAAGGCCTCGTTTGGTCCAGTTTGGCCCGGTCCTTGAGGTCTGGGAGTGTCCTTGCTCCGTGAGCACACCGTGTGTAGCTCAGGCGTCGGGCCGAGCTTGTGTCCGTCTTCGCTGCTTTGTCTGTCCGCTCCCCTCGAGGGGACAAGGCAGGCCCCAGGGGCTCCTCCCCGTTTAGCAGCGGGGCTCAGACCCTGCTGAGCCCCAGGCCTGGCTTGTTGGGCAGGAAGGGGTCACTCCCCCTCCGCGGCCGCCAGCACAGCAGGAGGATCATCGCACCCATGGCCCAGGGTTGAGAATGCGCCTCCTTGTCCTCCAGGGGAACTCGGGATCTTCTCTGGGCCCTCCCTCTACCTCAGCCCCCAACCCGCCCCTCGCCCATCCTCAACACAGCCTGGTGCCAAAGCCTCCCGCCTGGGACAGCCCTCTGCCGCGCTGAAGGCACTCTGCCCTCCCCCGGCCTCGCCCCGTGATGAAGGCTGCTCCACCGTGGGTCTGACATGCTGCAGCTTCAAAGAGGAGGGACCCTGTGTAATACGCCGGCGGACTCGGAACAGCCTCCGAATCAGCAAAGGAACACGCGTGGGGCCCCCCCCCCCCCCATCTCCCTGTGTCATGGGTTCTGCTTCCGGTCCTTTTCCAGGGCCTTGCAAGACCCCAGGTGTTGGGGTCTCCAGGCCATATCTGAGGGTCTGGCCTGGCGCCCGTATTAATAACCCCCTTCTGGGGCAGGCACTGTCCACAGTGACGGGCTCTGCAGGCCAGGGTCTGGGAAGGAGAGAGGGACTTCACTACAGGTTATCAGGAATGTGCACTGAGCTTGCTGGCTTGGACTCAGATCACAAGCCCCAAATATCAGGGTTACAGTGGGATTAGCCCTTTTTAGCCTTCTCGCACAGACTGTACCCCCTCCCTGGGACCCCTTTCCCCCAGGCCTGTCTCCTCTGGTCCAGCCAGGCTTTGTCTGAGCAGATCTGACGGCCACTGCGCTCACTCAGCCTTCGTTAATGAATGAAAACATACAGCAAAGCTGGAGGAGTGAGTCCCAAACCCTGTGGCACCGCCCCCCGCACTCCCCGGCAGGCCACTGAGTCCCAGGGTGCGTCCCCATCGCTCTGGCAGCTGCCAGGAGACACCAGACACCAGCCTGGACCCCCGTGTCCCCAGAGCCCTGCCTGCAAGGCCTCTGAGCACCCTGCGGCCAAGGGCCAACTCATCCCCCTCACCCCCTCCCGCCATCACCCTCCCAGGGTCCTGGTGGGGGCCAGAGGGTAGAGGTTTTGGGTGGGCCAGGGCCTGCCTGGGGCTTTGCTCTTGCACCTCAGCCCTGGCCACCTGTGCGTGTCCTGGCAGCCCCTTCCCCGCCATGCCAGGCCCCGCTGGGAGCTGTGCTGATGCAGGGTGACGGCTGGGGCTCTGGCTCCCCACAGACTCCTGGTGCAGCCCCCGCCACCCCTGGCCAGGCCGGCAGGTCACTGCTGTTTACAGAGTGCCACACGGTATCAAGCAGCCTCATGGTTTGCAATGCTCAAGGCTGTTTACAAAACAACTTACAAAGTAACCTACAGTTTGCAACGCCCTCTACAGGATGAAAAGGCACTGGACCGTTTCCCAAGTAGCACTGGCCAGACCAGCAGGCACCGGAGGGCAGGCACCAGCTCCTCGGTGTGAAGAGCGGGTTGTTAATAGGCTCAGTGGGTACTGACCGGACCCTTCAGCTCTTACAAGGCGGGAAGGGCACCTGCCCAGGCCGCAGGCCCGTGACCGGACACCCAATGGCCTCGTCCGGCTGCCCGCCTGCCCACCCACGTGGCAGGGCTCCTCCCTGTGGAGGCTGTGAGGGCAGCACAGGGCTCGCCGCCTCAGGAGCAGGGCTGGATGCCCCTGGCCCAGGCCTGGGCTTGGGGGCGGGCGGGCGAGGAGGTGGGTAGGGGGGAGGCTCGGGCCTGACAGGACGGGGAACTGGGATCTGCTGGGAGCCTCATGGTCACAACGCCCCGCAGGCCTGGTTCAGAGCAGTGGCTGCTCCTAGGGAGGCAGCCTGGCAGCCTGTTTAAAAGTCAGCTCAGCTGAAACCAGGTTGGCTCAGTGGATAGAGCATCAGCCTGCGGACTCGAGGGTCCCAGGTTTGATTCCAGTCAAGGGCATGTGCCTTGGTTGCAGGCACATCCCCAGTGGGGAGTGTGCAGGAGGCAGCTGGTCAATGTTTCTCATCGATGTTTCTAACTATCTCCCTTCCTCTCTGTAAAAAAAAAAAAAAATCAATAAAATATATAAAAATAAAAGCTCAGCCTCTCCTCTCTCAGACCCTCTGTGGCTACCCCCCACCAGTCTGAGGGTCCCGAAAATGCTCATTCCAGCTGGACCTCGGCTACCATCGCGCCCACCACACTCCACTGGCCGAGCCTCGGCCTGGGTGCTCGGGCTTCGCCAGCCTGGTCTGTGCCCTGTGCCCTCCTGACCCGATGTCCTGCTGCCTCCTCATGAGGCCCCTCGCCCGCTTCCCCCTCTGTGTTCCTCACACGCCCTTGGTAAGCTGGGCGGGGGTGCGGCCACAGGCCCTTGGAACCACAGAATGCCTGCGGGCTGGGCCTAACTGCGTTGTTTCCCAAAAGACTGCGGAGGAGCTGCCTGGAGGTCACGGTTCGATTCTGGTCAGGCCCCGGCCCCGGATGCGGCTCCATCCCCAGCGGGAGCAGGAGGCAGCCAATCGGATTGTCATCATCGATGTTTCTCTCCCTCTCCCTTCCCCTGAAATCAGTAAATGTGTATTATTTTTAAAAACTGCAAAGATAACAAGGAAGCAGTTCTGACTACTGGGCTGATGACTGCCCGGCTGAAAGTGAGAACATGGTTTAGACTCAGCCTCACTGTGCTGTGTGATCTGCATAAAGCCGCCGCCCCTGTGGGGCAGCCCCCTCACCCCGCCTCTGCCCTCACCAGAAGGCCGCGGGGTTCAGACTGAGTCAGACCTCGAACAGCTCTTACTGATCCCAATAAATGCTGCTTCTCACTCAGCCTGTTCCTTTAGGTTCTCGTCTGCTGACGAGATCCCCCCTCACCCCTGGGATTGGGGCTCTCCTGGGCTGGATGAATCCCTTGTTCAAGCCGGTCCGGTACCTGGGGGTGCGGGAGGCGGGCGGGACTGTGTGGGCTCCCCTCCCGCCGCCGCGTCCTGCCCTCCGCGGGCCGGGGTGGGTGTGAGGGGGTGAGGGGGGCGTTCGTTCCCATTGCCGGGACCCCAGAGGCCAGGGGCCAGTGGGTAAGCAAGCCGCTGTGCGGCAGGGAGAGCTCCGGGGAGGGTCTAACAGGGCGGGCCGGGTGTATCCGTGTGTTGTGATTTATTAATTATGTATCAACCCAAACAACAGACTGATGAACAAAAACAGACCCAGAGAAAGAGAAGCAGCGAACAGACTCTCAAACCTCAGAGGGAGAGCAGGGGAGGGTGGGGGTGAAGGACTCGTGTGCATGCATGTGGGCCTGCCAGTGGCCATGGACAACGGGGGCATATATAGAGGGGTTTGGGATGGGATTCGGGGGATGAGGACAATTATGTGAGACCATAATAAAAAAATAATAATTATGTATCATCCCCCCTCCCTCCCAAACACAGCTGTCCCTGACTTCCGTCCGCCCGCACCCTCCGCCGGCCCTGGTCAGAGCCGCGCCCCGCGGGGAACCGGGCGGGAGAGGCGCCACGATGCCCCCCGGGCCCCGC